AAATGCGCTGGGCCCGCCCGGCATCGAACCGGGGGACCCAACCGGCCGGGCCGCCCGGGACCCCTGCCGGACGGAGGCTGGGCCGCCGGGCGGCCCGGAATTTAACACAGATAAAATGTCCATTTTAACGAATTGACAGTTCTCTGGGCAATGCCTTAAAGCAGTAGTACCTTTGTCGGTTCGGAAAATAGTGGGCCTCCGACCTTTCAGGAGGCCGAAACGAAACGACGGCCGCCGATCAGATTTATGAACGGCAGCCGTTGTCGGGCCAGTCCTCCTGAAAGTTCAGGACTAGGCTAAAACTTGTCGAAACCGGACGGCAAAGGTACTAGTGGTTAAAAAAAAAAAAAAAGCATCATGCAAGGCCAGGCCTTCCCTGGGGACCCATCTGTTGTGTGGCTGGGTACTGCTAGGAAACCTCCCGACCAACAGAAGTATCCCTGGGGAGGCTATGGTATGGGAAGAGGGATCGGTTGTAGCAATCCCCCCCTTGTTAGGCGTCTAGGGCCACAAGGGTAAGGCTTTCCTCTTTTCCTACAAATAATTTGTACTTTGGAACTCATGCTTGCCGGTGATAAGCAACCGGACTGATGCCCCCAAGAATAGAAGGGGCTGAGTTGTTTTGGAAAAAAAAAAAAAAAAAGCCACTAAGAAAGCTACACTGCTACACTGAAAGCACAAGGTGAAAGAGAACAAGCAAGGATGGCCTGATTGACAATCTCGTTTGTTGATTGTATAGTACATCTTTCTTCCATTTGATGATGATGGACGTGCGCGTACGATGGTGCAGGGGCGCAAGCACTATCAGCAAGAGCAAAGAAAGATGATGGACTGATGTTCTATTGCCGAACTTGTGTTGCTCCAATCACTTCCAATCGGTTAAGGTAATGGCTCAGCACCAGCGACACCAACCCAGCCAGTGTCCCGCACTATTTGTGCTCACTCTTTATGTACCTGTTCCCTCCGTTGTTATTTTCCCGCGTTAAACCACCTGTACACCCGGGCCTGGTGGCCTTCCACAATGCGCCAAGCTTTTCCGAACCAACTGCGTTGCACTTTTTTCCTTTTATGGCTGAGGCCATCAGCCATTGTGGTCTGGTAGGCTTGAGCCTCCAAAATCTTTGTAGGTGATGAAAGATTTCTGCACAAGGCTGGGGCCATGTAGTGGCGGTTTAAMTTCCCTGCTCTCCGATTGAAGTCTCTATGGTTTGAGAATGAGCAGCCATGCCATACTACAGGAGGGAAGGCTAAGCCACCAGCGTCTGTCTGTCTGTCTCTCTCTCTTTCTCTCTCCCTCTCATATTTTTCTTTCATGACCTTTGATGATCTGTCACCTAAGGTAGCCTCTGAAGGTGGCTTGGATGCAAACTAGCCATTCCACATTGGGGACAAGGTAGTCTTAAGTGTTTGAATGCAATGAATATCACTTTTGTTTTGAACTGCTTATCACTCGTCCAGTTGCCCGAGTCGGACTGGTCAAATGGTTCTTAGAGCATTTTTAAGCTTTTTGGCCTCATCCGATAATGTTTTGATATTGTTTGGTTGAGTTATCGTGGTTATCCAGGATTACTCTTGTCGGCTGAACCGTAACTGTGCCGAATCTCAAATGTATGCATTGAGCGCATTAGCTTGCAATGAGCCAACAATGTGACAGTTCCTTACAGTGCACAAAACGGCACACTTTATCTCACATAGACAAAATGACACACTTCATCTCACGTAGGAATCGAGAGCCAAACACGAGGTATGAAAACTATGAAAATTCATCGCAAATTGAAGTCTTATACCACAAGTTTGCTTATACAAGCTGGGCGGCTATGGCCGCCAGCAGAACGAACTGGCTTCCTTTTTCTCTCTGTGTCTACCCTACCCTCAGGCCTCACTCTCTCTCTGGAATCTGAAAATTGATCGCAAATTGAAGTCTTATGCCACAGGTTTGCTTATACAAACTGGACGGCTATGGCCACCAGCAGAATGAACTGGCCTCCTCTATCTGCTCTCTCTGTGTCTACCCTACCCTCAGGCCTCACTCTCTCTCTGAATGTTTTCCTCATTCTCTCTCCGAATGTTTTCCTCACTCTCTCTTGCTCAACGGCAGCTCCTCGACTGCACCCTTCCAGCCTCACTCGAAGTTTAGCCTCAGAAGACCGCGGCAGTGCTCCCGCAGCACGCACAGATGAAAAAGATGTTGAAGCTGCCTGCAGTTGGACTTTTGTGTGCGACGCTTCAGCTCCCAGCCTAGGACTTCCCAGGCCGGTACCCTCTCTTGCTGGCTGTGGTCGGCCTCCGACATATCCGCAATGTTGACAGACTTTCTTCAGAATTGGGCCATTGACTGGATTGGGCCGGGCTGGACTGTATGGACTGGCTGGACTGGACTGCATGGACTAACGGTGCAGCCTACTGCAGCTACCGACCTAGACTTCTACCTACCGACCTACTAAACTGGGATCCTATGGTACACAGGACATGGGACCTTGGGACAGGGACAGGAGGCTGATAAATATGAAATCGTTTCAATCCTGCTGACCAAGTTTCGGGGGTCCTCCGAGAAAGTTACAGACTTTACTCCCCGTCTGCGATTCTAATACCCCTTTGCTCATAGCGAGAAACTATCTAGGTGCGGTCTTATTCAGTTCACCTTTCATGAACCATCTGTCATCTTCCAGTTTCTGGTATTGATTTCTTCTTTCCTTTTTCTGAAGGTTGATGGCGTTGAGATATCCTCATCAAACTGACCGGCCCAAGGTTATTCAGAATGTAGTATTTTGCTCATCTGCTTCCAGTGGAGTTCGAACTCATGTCTGTATTTCAACAGTTCAGGGGGTGTACCAACTGAGCTATGCCAGTTGGTTCTGGTATTAAAATCTAGCCTTGCATTGCCTCCTTTGTTGTCCCCTCCTTGCTCTGTTGGTATCCTGCTTGATTATATGATTACCATCCATGTCAGGTGGAATCATTGATCTATGTGCGGGAAAGGTTGTATCTGTTATGCAGGGTGGCAGCTTAGAAGGCACGAAATACAGGGTACATTTCTAGATTGGGAGGTACATGAGGAAGGGCGATCAACAAATCCCACTACATCTAACACTTCCTGCAGTCCTCTGTATGCAGGTAGCAGTTTCTGAGAAATACTTTCGTCTGGTACAAACTCTTTAGACTAAATCGAAGACAAACCGCTAAGGCCTCCTGTGTTTGTTGGTTTCTTTCACCAGCTTCTCGTGGGCATGCCTAATATTCTGCACGGTGTTCTTAAGGTCTTTCTCGTAGGCGAGTGTTCTTAAGGTCTCGATTGTACGTCAGTCTGTGCCTGGGGCGGCAGTCTCTGAAATCTGGCCAGGACTGAGAGAGTGTATAGTCTTCTATCATTCTATGGCTTCACGGCTTATGCAGTTCATTCAGTGTCCTTCCTGTCAAGAGGTGCACAAAATTATTATAGGCGCTTTCTCCCTTAGATAAATGTTCATACCAATCTCTCTGATCCCATCTAATCTACATACGGGTCCGATCCCATCTAATCTACATACGGCTTTAGCAGTTTATTCATCTGTTTGGTGTGAACATTCGTTTCCGATGACATGGTCAGCTGGGAACCATACATCTTCATCAACTGCTGCCACTGCTCACCCCTGAACCTAACATCCCTCTACCTAACTATCACTAGACGGTGCCCGTTATCCTTCACCCAATGCGCAAAAAAGCCTTGAATGCCGAGATCTGACTTTGCTTCCACAGGTAACGGAATGAATGCTGTGTATTTGCTGAGGCGGTCGTATACTACCATGACTTGATGGTTCACTCTTCTGCTCTTGACTTGCATCCCTACATTTACAGAAATCGCGAACGTGAAAATTGGGCAAAAGGGGTGAGTGGGGAGAAGTAGATGGTGGGATATGGAGCGTCCTACTAGTGAGAGGGCTAGCTCGTAGGATGGAAATAGGGTACAGGAGCAGCGAAGATGGTGGCTCTGCTGCAGTAAGTCTTGCCGGAGTGAGGTAAAGAGGATTGATGGGGGGTTTCTGAGTCGTTGTCTGAATTTTGCCTATTCCTGAATTTCGTCGTAGTAATTTTCTGAGTAGCTCAAATTTTTCTTAGCCAAAGCCGGGTAATGGCCCTGGTATCTCAAACTTTCAAAATTCTATGTAAATTTCCATACGGGACGCTGGGCCCGGTTCCCAGCACGTGCTGCTCCCCACGAATAGATTGGAGCCTTCTTCCCC